AAGTTCCTATACATGGACCTGTGTATAGGTTTATGTTATATATCCTAGCTTGATACCCCTTAGTGCAAGATAGTGCTAAGAAAGAAGATCAGAAATGACTTCTGCAGTTTACAATTTGTTCAGCTTTGGTTCAGAGTAGTTCAGGCTTCCTTCATTTGTTACAATTTTAAATACAGAAATGGTAAGTCATTTTATTTACTGAATTGTCATTCTTAAGATCAGCCATGCCAAACATTATAGTTTTGTTTCTGTCTTTCCTTTTAACTAATCATTGAGTTCTTTTGTTTTACTTACATTTTCCTTGATTTAAGCAAGTCAAGGGAGAAGACTATTCTCCAGTTAAAGCACCATGGTACCCAGTATCTTTTCACAAGACTAGTAATTTATATTTTGTAGGATTGTTAAAAAAATATTTTTCCTTTTTTTAAATCAGAGGGAATGAATCAAACCTTCACAATGCTTTATTTATTTCACCCCAAAGGAATCTTTGCAACAGGTAAAGATAGTTTCGGTGAACAACCCACTTGTCTTTCTGAATGCCAAGAAGTTCCATGCTGATTTAATAAAGATAATCCAGAAGGACAATGCAAGCAACCAGGCATATGATGATATAAACAAGGTAGGATGTGCTATATTCGTCAGTAGTAATGATGGCAATAATGATAATGAGTGCTTTTCTCATGTTCATTCCATCAAATCTCACAGCACTCAATCAGATAATACAGTAGAAAATCACATTATGCCATAGATGATCAATTTGCCATATAATAAAATTAAAACCTAAACTCCATCAAGTTCAATGTATTTAGTTTTTCCCATCACTGTTTGGAAGGAATACATCTAATATATTTATCTATGTAATTCAACAAAAGATGTTAATGAATCAATCCAGTACCCATGGAAATTCATGGGAGAACTTCCACAGGCTTTGATACATAAAGGCCTATTTCCATCACAGAGGGCATGTCTACATGTGCATATTAACTGTGCAGTAACTGAAAATTACGCCACAGTACAGGTGGTGGCTACATGTGCAAGACTATACTCCACAAGAAATATGTTGACTTATGCCAACTTGGGTATAAATTTGATACCTGCATCATGCAGGTATCAAATTTATGCCCAAGTAGTTACTGTGCAGTAATCCATGTGTAGACAACTTACTGTGCAGTAACACTGTGCATGTGGACTGACTTGGGACTAACCTTACTCTCAAGTTAGTCCACATACAGCATTACAGTGCTTTAACACCTGCACATGTAGATGCCAGCCTAAACCCATTTACTGTGCAGTAAGTAACTGTACAGTAACTTTAATGCACCATAAATGCACATGTAGATGTGTGCAGATTTAATATCTGCCGCCACGGAGGTCTGTGAGAGCAACAGTTTTTCATCAGCTCTGAGAATTAGACTTATACCATTGTAATTATCAGTAATTAACCTGGAAGCAACAGGAAGGTATACAGGTGTAAAATTGAGGAACAATACTGTAAAGTAATGTTTCTCCTTAAGTTTTCACAGTGATTATCATAGTTTTGGTAAAATAAATAAATAGAGGATATACAAATAATAATAATATGTCACTGCTGCCACAGACATCTTGACTATTCTAGTATACCTGCCAATACCTATTATAGTTTTAAAGGCTAGACAGAGTTTGCTCTTGTTTAACAGTAATTTATTTACAGCTTTTGATAAAACAACTCAGTAAAATGAACAATAAAAGTATAAATAATATAATAATAAAATTATATAGTTTATAGTTACTAAGCATACAATAAGATTGCACAATCTATTAGCTTAAACAAAATTAAAACAGAACATAGAATCATAGAAAATTAGAATTGGAAGGACCCTCAGGAGGTCATTTAATTGAATCCCTTACTCAAAGCAGGACCATCCCCAACTAAATCATTCCAGCCAGGGTTTTCTTGATTCAGGTATTAAAAACCTCCAAGGATGGAGGTTCCACCACCTCTCTAGGTAACCTGTTCCAGTGCTTCGCCACCCTCCTAGTGAGAAAGTTTTTCATAATATCTAACACAAACTTTCCTGGCTGCAACTTGAGACCATTGCTCCTTGTTTTGTCATCTGCCACAAATGAGAATAGTCTAGCTCCATTTTCTTTGTAACCACTCTTCAGGTAGTTGAAGGCTGCTATCAAATCGCCTCTCAGTCTTCTCTTCTGAAGACTTCCCTCAGCCTGTCCTCATCATAAATCCTGTACCTCAGTCCCCTAACCATTTTTGTTGCCCTCTGCTGGACTCTCTCCAACTTGTCCACATCCTTTCTGTGTACTGGGGGGCACAAAACTGGACACAGTACTCCAGATGTGGCCTCACTAGTGCTGCACCAGTGACCTGCACCAGTTAGGCCTGCATCAATGCTGCACTAGGGAGTAATCACTTCCCTTGATCTACTGGCAATGCTTCTACTAATGCAGCCCAGTATGCCGTTAGCCTTCTTGGCAACAAGGGCACACTGCTGGCTCATATTCAGCCTATTGTCCACTATAAGCCTCGGGTCATTTTCTGCAGAGCTGCTTAGCCAGTTGGTCCTAAGCACGTAATGGTGCAAGAGATTGCTCCGATATAAGTGCAGAACTTTGCACGTGTCTTTGTTGAACCCCATGAGAATTCTTTTGGCCCAATCCTCCAATTTGTCTAGGTCACTGAATCCTAGGCCTGCCCTCCATATCTACTACTCTCCCCAGCTTGGTATCATCTGCCAGCTTGCTGAGGTGCACTCCATTCCATCTTCCAAACCATTAATAAAGATATTGAACAAGACTGGCACCAGGATTGACTCCTGGAGCACTCCACTTCATGTCAGCTGCCAACTAGATATCGAGCCATTGATTACAACCCGTTGAGCTCGATGAGCCAACCAGATTTCCGTCCAACTTACAGTCCATTCATCCAACCCATACTTCCTCAGTTTTCTTGTAAGAATGCTGTGGAAGTTGGTATCAAAAAGCCTTGCTAAGGTTAAGGTATATAATGTCCACTGCTGACTGTTCCTGATAACTTTCTTCTCCTCCAAGTGTTTAGAAATAGATTCTTTGAGGGCCTGCTCTATGATTTTTCTGGGGACTGAGGTGAGGCTGACTGGTCTGTAGTTCCCTGGATCCTTTTTCTTCCCTTTCTTAAAGGTAGGCACTACATTTGCCCTTTTCTGATAATCCAGGACCTCCCCCAATTGCCACGAGTTTTTAAAGATAATGGCCAGTGGCTCTGCAGTCACATCAGCGAACTCCCTCAGTACCCTCAGATGCATTGCATCCGACCCCATGGACTTGTACACATCCACTTTTCTAAATAGTCCCTAACCTGTTCTTTCATCACTGAGGGCTGCTCACCTTCACCCCAAACTGCGACCCGGTGCAGTAGTCTGGGAGCTGACCTTGCCTGTGAAGAAGGAGGTAAAAAAGGCATTGAGTATTTCAGCCTTTTCCTCATCACCTGTCATTAGGGTGCCTCCACCACCCACACTTTCCCTGATCTTCCTCTTGTTGTTGACATACTTGTAGAAACTCCTTTTGTTACCCTTCACATCTCTTGCTAGCTGCAACTCCAATTGCGCTTTGGCCTTTCTGATTTCATCCCTATATACCCAAGCATTATTCCTATACTCCTCCCTAGTCATCTGTTCAAGCATCCATTTCTTGTAAACTTCCTTTTTGTGTTTAAGATCACTGGAGAGTGTTCTGCTAAGCCAAGCTGGTTGCCTGCTATATTTGCTATTTTTCCTACACATTGAGATTTGTTCCTGAGCCCTCAGTAAGGTTTCTTTAAAATACAACCAGATCTCCTTGACTCCTCTCCCCCTCAGATGAGAACATAGGATATGATACTCAACATAGTACATGATAATACAGAAAATAAATAAAACAAAACAATATCAAATAGCCAAGTAAAAAAATAAAAAGTCTATTTTATTTTGCTTTTCTTGCTTTTGCTTTAACTGCTATGGAGACATTCTCTGATGAACACCGCATAAATAACTTGGTAGAGATAAACATATTTGTTTTGCCTGAAATTAATTTAAATGTTCTTTGGGGTGGATATTTTGTCCTTTATATGTACTGGGGAGTGCTTAATTCTACAATTTGCTGATTTTTTTTGCACAGTATGTTGGGGGGGGGTTGGTAGAAAATAACCTTTATTCAAAAACAAAACTTTTTTGCAAAAACTTGTTCATGCCTTTGTGGGTTTTTATTTATATATTTTTCTTTTTAATACATTTATATTATATCTGTTATAATTTATTACCACGCATTTAATATTTTATCAAAATCAGTATCAAAATATTAGATTTTTTAAAGCTACATTTGAATAAATAAAACATGTTTTTGGTAAATGAATAATTTCAGAAATTATTTTAGCAAATATTTCAATTAACATAGAATATTTCATAATGTAAACAAGGTTGACATTTTGAACTTTATTCATTTACTCCCCTCCCCCTTTTTATCAGCTCTGTGTAGCCCCCAGGAGATTAAAATGGATATCAATTCTTGAAGGCTAGAGATTGGCCTAGAAGGCAAAAATGAGGCAGTGAAACAATAATACATAGGTTGAGATAACTTTTAAACAAATATTGCTGAATTTATTCCACGTGTTAAAAGGATCCACAAGACTTTCACAGAAAGAGAATTTTGATATTTTCCTTTAGAAGGGAATAGAAAAACTCCATAGTGGCAAACAGAAGGCATTGATGGTTTTTCCTTAGTTCTTACATTGAGTTTTCCTTTTGTTTCAGTGTGAACAGAACACATTGCTCAATCCATTATCCAATGGCAGTTGTCGTGGTGAGTTTAGCATTTATGAAACAAATTGAAAGGAAGATGGGGTGTGGTGTTGGTATGTCAGATGTTTCCTGATTTTTACATAAATGTTCATGGTCCAGAAACTAATATGTTTCCTCATGCCAAGTAAAGCTTGAACACTAGCAGTGCCACCTTCCCTATAGTATCCTGTCAATATGCATTGCCTTTGATCTGGAGGGCTTCTCAACCCTCTTAAGTTGAGAATGTAGGGCTTACGTTTTGAGATTGCTGATAGAGATTTACAGCTCTGAATCTAGGAAATATTCAGAGGGTACCAACATATTTCACATAACCATAATTTACTCATGAGACAGCAGAGAAATTATATTATCCATGCCTTAGTCCAGATTTGAACTAAGAACCTGACATACTTTAGAGCCCTGGTTTTCTACCTTTTTTAGACTCAAGGCACCTCTCCACAACTTTTCTGAACTTAGTGGCACCCCATCCATTTAAAAACTAATTTAACTTATTTTTGTACTATAGAATAGTAATAAAGCAACGCTGTTGCAAAGTACCCAGGAAGATCACAATGCTTTGGACAATATGAATTCCTATTGGGAAGCTCTTGGTTTATCTTGTCAATCATGTGTAGGTGTTTGCTAATATTGGGTGGCACCCTTAAAAAGATCTCACAGCATCCCAGGGTGTTGTGGGACCCCAGCTGACAATCACTGCTTTTAGTTCCTCAGCTAAAAATAACAAAAACATCAACCAACAGATTTATTAGAAACACTGCCCAGTCATGAAATGAACTGAGCATTGTGTGGATTATTGTACCTGGTCAGAGCTTACTGCAGAGCTGGAGCATAGACAGTAAGTAAAACTAAAAGTATAAAAATGATATTAAATCTGTATGGCTTTTAAGTCCATTTACAATATAGGCTAAGAAAATTGAAATGACTCAAAATGATCCATATCACCTTACCTCAGAATATGGAATAAGGAAACTAAATAAAGGTTTATTTTTTATTTGAGATTTAAAATATATAAACCATTTCATAACGAGCTAAGGAGGATAGTTGGAGAAGCGCTGAAGTCTCAGAGGGGAGGGGAGCCGGGTGTCCAAGGGGAGTGGTCGCTCCTTAAGGAGACGATCCTCCAAGCCCAGAGGAAGGTAATCCCCAGGAGGGTCAAAGTGGGCAGGAGAGCATATAAGCCTCCATGGCTCACTAAAAACATCCGGGAATGTCTCCTTGCCAAAAAGGAGGC